AAAAAAAAAAAAAAAAAAACAACAGATCAAGCATGGACATACCAGTTTTACAGATGCTTCCGGCGTTAGAAATTCCTTTTTAGGAACTAAAGCTTCCTTTGGCACTGCCCCAGCTACATTTTGTAACAATGAGTTCAGTGCTGAGGAAATATGACTACGTTCGTACAATATCTGTAATTTTAAAGGAAATAATAAGTAACATACGATTAAAACACAAAATGTTCACCTGACAGGGCTGGTAGTGTGCTAAAAGTGTCCTTAAACAAGATCTGTTTCGGTCATCTGTAAATTGGCCAAGCTGAAAAACTTTGAAAAAATTACCATTCGTACACCATTCAAGATGATGAAGAGTTTCTATAGTCAAATTCAATTAAATTTAGGTTAAACTTATTTCTGTAGAATAATTTCCAACACAAATCAAGATTCATACATAAAACATCCCAACAGAAGTGTCGACGAAACAAACACCATACGAAGAAATGCCAACTTCTGAACACTAAAAGATGCTTTGGGTGATTGAAGTTCACTTATTTTTTAAACTAGAGCAAGAAGAAAGACAAGGAAAATATAGACAACTAAAAGGTACTTCTTCCGCAATAGCATATAAATAGTGTGCAGTGGATTCAACTGAATCTAATGCAGAACGATCATCCGTCCCGTCTAAAACACCATATGTCCTTGTCCCTGGAGTAGTGACACGACATACCTCTCTGAAAAGTCCGTTTTCATAGCAAGCACTAAAGTAACAAAAAACGATCAAAAATTGTTTTTACCGTTTTACAACTTTATCTCTTGCTTGCTCCTTCTTATTCCTCTCCTCTAGCTGAGAAGGAGTTTCTGTCTGTTCGACACGAGCTACCTTATATCCACGACTAACCAACTGGTCAGCAAAGCGGCCATATGCGATTTCTGGGAAACCACAGTGTGCCATTTTACCCTAAAACCTCTTAGATACATTAACTTCTATTCAAAATGCTTAAAAAAGAAGGTAAGTATTTTTCAACTTACTCTCATATAAGTCAAGTTTAAATTCTCCACTCCAATGACGGCATCCATATGGTACATCTCGTAAAACTTGCCAACTTTGAAAAAAAGGATAGTGTCGAAATATTGAGATTTGG